AGGACGGTTCTCCACAGGACGCAAGTCCACACGCTCCTCCGCACAGATCAAGCGGGCGCCTTCTTTCTCTGCTTGGGACAGCACCACGGGCGAGTTGAATTCCTCAACATGGCCCAACTCCCACTGCCTGAGGAAGGCGCCCCCACTCTCAAAAAACGAGTCTCGATACGCCTTCATAAAGAAGAAGCCGTTGAACCATTTACGGTTGAGTTTGGGACATCGTGACACGAAATGGTATGGGCGCTTCTTCCGCTTCTGAAGTGATAAACAGTTGTCGAGGGGCGCCATCTTAAAAAAGTATCTAAATAAGTTGAAGGTGGGCTCCCCGTTGCACTCCCGACACCTCAAGTTAAATAAGATGACTATCGTAATTACTGAGGGAGAGAGGCGCCCCAATGAACAACCACATGTAGTTAGAATCCCCTCCATAATATGGTCGAGGGGGAAGCGCAGCCCGAATCGGAAGTACTCCTGGTACACTCCGATCCACTAAGGCCCGCAGACGCCCACTCGCGAAATTGGTGACTGAGGCGCATACCACCAGTCGCGCGACTGTTGCAGACTGGTGACGAGCTCATGGACGCGCGCCAGGGTGACCGTCGACCCATGCTTCGGCCCGCCCACATCGAAGGGCAAATGAGCCGTCTCCACTGGTAGATGGTCCGGGGGAAAACACTTCTCCCAGGTGGTAATCTTGTACGACCCATCCGCAGGCACAAAACCGGGCGCCGAGGTGCTTGATGATCCAGCCGATGTCGAAGCAGGCGCCCCCTCTAAACCAACAAACGACCCAGACGCAACGTGGACGCGGGGTAAGTGACGCCCTGCCCTAAATAACTAGAACGAATGCAGCACAACCAACGAAAGAAAGAAGATTCCTTACCACGTTGGGTTGGACGACTTGCCTCACCGCCCGCTCACGAGGCTCCCGCACCAGTCGCGTCGCCGCCCGAGGCGCCTTGGCCGGAAGTCTTGTCTTGTTGTGCAGACATATTCGAAGGACAAAGCAAAAAGGGACGGTTGATGCAGAGACTGACAAGAGAGAGGTCAGAGCAGACTCTAGAGCGAAGTCAGAGGAAAATCTTAGAGAGAGAGTGAATGGCGGAAAGTGACAAGAACTAAAGGGGAGGGGGTATTTAAAGGAAGCGAAGGTCCACGACAGGACCCGCGCCGACGTGCCACGTGTCCATATCACGGGCGGACTTTTGAGCTCCCCCACCATTCCCTTTCTTGAAATTTTCGAAATTTCCAATTCGAATTTTCTAAATTCCAAATTCGAAATTTCGAATTTTCCCGCCAAGCCAAAAGTGGGACTCACATCAAAATTCCCCCCGTGAGGGGGGATAAGGGCTTGGGACGCCCGCACGGAGAACGCCATTAAGAGGCGCCCGAGAGCCACAAACGAAGAGGCGCCCTCGGAGCACCAAAAAAGAAACACATATTGCAAGGAGCATCAGCAACGACGGGACGCCCGCCAGCTAAAGGGGATTGGCAAGTGTGCCCCCGAACCATGAAGGAAGTAAAAATACAACATAGGGCGCCGAGAAGCATGCGTCCCATAACGAAGAGGATGCCAGACCGCAGTAGGAGAATCAGTCAGGCGCTCAAAGGCGAAGCCATGAGCACCTAACTGGGGGGCAATTGTTGGGGGTATTACCCAGCAATTACGAGTTCGGGCCCCCAAAGAGAAGAATTGGGGGGCAAGGCCCAAAAAGGGCTCCACTAGAAACCCTTAGGCCCAAGCAAGGGCAAGAGCCCCAAAAGAATAAAACACTAAAAGCCAAAATGAGACCAGCTGTCAGGTGGTCCTCTGCCTAACTGGGGGGCAATTGTTGGGGTATTACCCAGCAATTAGGAGTTCGGGCCCCCAAAGAGAAGAATTGGGGGGCAAGGCCCAAAAAGGGCTCCACTAGAAACCCTTAGGCCCAAGCAAGGGGAAGAGCCCCAAAAGAATAAAACACTAAAAGCCAAAATGAGACCAGCTGTCAGGTGGTCCTCTGCCTGCGGGCGCCTGTCGTGCATCAGAGGCCTGACAAGGCTGTTGGGTGTCTGACAAAGAGGGCACAGAGCATTAAATTAGGACAGTGGCGTGGAGGAGATCAACCTCGAGTTCGGTGAGTATAAATAGGGGCAGTTGGTAGCATTATGGGGGGTTGGACTCTCTCACCAAATTTACTACGTGAGAACACTTCTCTCTCCAAGGGAACTAACTTGGGCGTCGGAGGATTAACGGGCCCAGGCGCCCTCCTCTTTGTGTGTGCAGCCAGGCGCCGGGAGAAGGGAGGTTCCTGCTATACAGGCGGGTATCGTGGCTCAAACAGCATCCCACAAAATTCCCATAACTCCAACCGAAACTTTAACTTGTAAAACCAAACAAATTCCAAACGTTAATAAATAACAAAACAACCGGAAAACGTTTGGAGTGTCTGCCTCCGATCATGACAACCCGAAAAGAAATCGAAAAACCGAATGCCTGGACAGGGACAAGGAAAAGCCCGGCGACAAAATAATATAATAACCAAACAATCACATAAGCATGATCAAAAGTATCATGCAACGAGCATAATAGGGATACAACTAATTAAATATTTTTCCAAAACTGCAATTGGGTTTCTATTGATCAATAGCAGGAATACTGATTCATTCTCCGACTAGAAGCATGAAGAAAAAAATCCAGAAAAATGAAACCAGCAGGAGAACATAATCATGCGTATATCATATTCAAGTAAACCCCAATAATCTAACCATTATGAAAAGCTCTGATACCACTTGATAGATATAACACAATAGCACAAATAATTTTCCGAATATCACTTGTAGAATATAAACAAAATATATTCGAGCAATTCACTGGATCATCATAATGCTAGATTATCAAAGGTTAGTAGGAGATACCTGGATTCATGATGACCGTCTAAAGCTAGATGCGGAAATGATGACGATCAATCTCCGGACGATGTCTCTTAGTGCACGACCCGGGAGGTTACGCAGCCTTCCTCAACCAAGCTCCCTCAAACCCACTCTCAGGCAATCTCACGCATTCCGATGGGGAGAATGTGTGTGTGTTGAACTTGGTATATTGGGGACTACAACCTCAACTTCCTTATATATAAGTCACACCATGGCTCCCATAACACCATATGTGGACTTATATGTGGGTTTCCACCCATTGAACCCACATTGGGTTCAAGTAGTCATGGGATCAAATGAATGGACCACTTTATTTAGCCCATCAAATCAAATAACAAATATAGTGTGTTCTAAAATTAGTGGCCCACTTAGGTTAGGAAATGAATTTTCTAACAGATAAATGATTCAGAAAACTATTCGGATGTGACATGATCGCTCTAGTATAGTGGTATATGGTAAGTTTTCGTTTTAAGCGAAACGTAGCTCCTTGAGGCTTGAGGGCTGAAGCCGGTTCCTTCCAACTAATAAAACCAACTACATGGATCGACATTGGAGGATTACCAAGTTTTTCTAAGTTGTGAGAAGGTTTTTTTTTTGGTACATAATTAATTTGGATGATGTATCTTAATTAGACTACTAGGAAAGCCCGCTCGCTTCGCTTCGCGTTAAGAGAAGAAATAAACATGAAATAATAATTATGCCAAACATTCTGTGACCTGCCCATGAAAAAAATGTGGGTTTTCAAGGGCAATTTAAAGTTTGCTTACCGCAAACATAGTCTTATTAGTTACATTCTCAACAATATACCTATGGTGAATTTCATTAGAAGTAGTTTCACCCAACTGGCATGGTGAGGGGATTGGTGGAATGTCAATAGAAGAATTATGTCAATTAGAGTTGTGGTAGTTTATATATAGTTCTGTGAATCAAGAAATGACAGCAACACTTGTATATCTATAAGATATGTACTTTTGTACAATGGCACTCTTTGCTTCATGATAACTGTAGTTAACTCTTTTTTTTTTTTGTTCTTTCATACCCAACCCTTTGAGTTGAGGGAGCTTCAACTTCTACTGCTGTCTTTCACTATCAATCTGTTATTTTTTTTTTGTGGAGATGAAAGATCACCTCCTGGTTCTGCAACAACCTACAAGTGCCATGAAGTTTCACTTTAGCTAATAGGTAATAGCCTACTACAATATCCAATTCCTCATTACCAATATATGAGGTGATGTTGAGAAGACATTATATACATGAAGTGACAAAGTTCAACATTCACTGTGTGGAAACTGGTTGAAGATGGCATCACTAACCTTGGGGCGAGCTCCATTACTTTTATTTTCCAAGGCATATCCTGCTGGAAAACATAATAGAGATGCAAGGTAAAAAAAATTTGAAAGGCATTTTAAGTTGCAAATCTAGGAGTTCAAAAGGTTCAAAATGAATCCAATAAATTTAAATCACCATTCATGGGAAGTACCTGATAAAGAAGAGGAAGTCCAACACATTAGTCGAATGCTTGCAGAATGAGCTATATGAAAGGTATACACCAAGAACTACCTTCAGGCGATTAATCTGCAAACAAAAGCAAAAGAATACCATCTCTTGTCAACTGCAAAATCCACGACCCCATAACAATACGTGAATTAGTATAAATAGGTCCCATCCTGTCATTTAGCAAAGAGGAAATAAACAATCAAGTGCTTCCTTAACTGATATGAATTCTGGTTAGAACTCCTTTAACAATCTCTTGTCTTCCCCAACACTATGATATTTAAGATGAAAACTTTATATCAAAGTCCTATAGAGCTTTATCCACCAGTTGCATGATGATTTTTTGTTTTGTTTCATAGCATAGGAAAAATATGATATGGATACATTAGTTTTTTAATCTTAGCAAGTAATGGGACAATGTAGCATCCAAGCAGAACAATAAGAGAATTTAGTACTTTAACCAAAAGTTCATGTGATTAACGATGGACGCTAAAGATAAAGGTAATAAAATTGGTTTAGAGCTTCGATAATTAAGTGCTGTAAACATTCAGATTCTATTAGAGTATGAAATTGCATTCAAAGCAAAGGTAAATAGAACTTGATTGGCCACCAAAGCCACCGCACATGAATTTAGCTTGCAGAATTCATGATCTGATCCAAAGTAAGAGAATTCACATTAGCAAAAACCAGTTCAATCATCTTGCAGAACATAAAAATGAACTGTGTAGAATAGCGAACCCGCGTCAAAAGCGAGTATACAATGGGTGATAGATGCCCCAGCTAATGTCGCAGTTGTCTCCACCAGCTAGTTGAAAACCCGGCGTTGAAAGCGAGCTCTGCAGTGCGATTCAGCAGAGCACAAAACTTAGCAAATCTATTGACATGAGATTACCAATTACAGAAGAAGAGTGATGACTAACCTGGTTAAACACTGTCAAAGCAGGAGAAGGTTTGGGCAAGAGATTTCTTGAGAAGGGAGACCTCATTAAAAAATGGAAATCTGTAAGACACAACCTATTAAGTACAAAACCAAATCAAAAAGATATAAACAAACCTAAGAAATTTGAAAAACTTACCAAAACAAAGTTCCCCTCTTGTCATCGTCGTTGCCACTAGCAAAGCTTGGATTGTCGGCGGCAGATCCTTTCTTCTGCCAAAAACAAAAACCACATCAGGATCGTTAAAATCTCCCTTTCCCCTTTCAGATTCGACCCTACACCTTCTTCTTCTCCCATACTCTTCCCTCCTTTTCTCAGGTGGATTCTTCTTCCTGTCGGTGTTCCTTCCTGACCTCCTCCCAGAACAAATCGCTTCCATTTTTGTGCCTTCCCTTTCTAACAAAGACGACCAATACCGAGAAAGAGGAAGAATCAATGGAGACCACAAAGAAGATGTAGTTTGAATAAAGCAGTTTTGTCTAATTCTCTCAACAGTAGTGCATACATGAAGGAACTTGGGAAATCAAGTATCCCTTGTGTCATTATCGCCGCCACCGACGCAACTCAGATGCGAATCCTTTCCCTTTTCTTCCACCGAAAGGGGGAAAATATAGCAAAACCCTTCAAATCTCCTAAAGAAAGATCAAATCGTCAAGAAAAATCTCTTTCCGGACTTGCAGATTCGACCCAGGTGGATTCTTCTTCCTGCCGGTGTCTTTTCATGGTCAAAAACCCAAAAAAAAACAAGAGTCAGAAGAAAACATAGGAAGGAATATGACCCCCCCCCCCCCCCAAGAAGAGAGTGAACTAAAACCCAGAAAATGTAGAAACAAAAACAAAAGAAACAGGAAAAACCGACTCTGTTCTTATGTGTTCTCCTCCTCATTCTTCTTCTCCTTCTTCTTTTGTAGCCTCCTTGATCTTCATTTTCTTCTGCTTTTTCTCTGTCGTTCAACACAAAAAGGAAGAAAAGTGACTGCAGATTCACAAATATGAAAAAAAGTGAGAGAGGAATTGTGGGCGGGACGTGGTGCAAAGAAAAACAAGAAAGAGAGATGGCAAAGATCAGGAAAGGGAAAAAGCATATGTGTGAGAGAGAGAGAGTTTTTTGGGGGAATGAAACAGAAAAGGAGAGATGTGTAAGAGGGGAAGGAAGAAGGTAGGAGATGATGGCCATGGGCAGATGAAGGAACCAAGGAGAGAAAAAAAGAAGTGAAAGGCGGAGAGAGAAGCCGTCTCTCATGAAGGAACCAAGGAAAAAAGAGAGAGCAGAGAAAGGAGAGTAGTGATGGGTTGACAAAAACACTGTTAAGTCCATTAATTAGGAAGTGACTCTACCAAACAGTAAATGGTAGTTTGTTCTTTTAAAGAGATAATAATAATAATAATAATAATAATACAGACTAACTCTACGCCTAAACAAGAAGGTGGATTGAGAATCAACCTTAGACTGTGGAATCTTGCTCGCACAACGAAACATGTTTGGAATGTAGTGTTGGTCAAGAATGAACCATATATTTAGATGTTAGTAACTTTTAAGTGTTTTTGTTAGAAGGTGCTACAAGTAAAGCAGAGAGTTGTCTCTGTTTGGTATAAACCATCGTAATTACTTTGGGTTGGGTTCTCATATTGAGAATATCATACGAGCTTCAATAAAATTTTGATTAACCATAAAAAAAAATGATGTGTCTTATATGATGTTGGAGTACTGTTTGTCTAACTCTATGGTTGTGTGGTATAGTTTTATGATCCATGGTTTAATTGTAAACCAAAAATTGTACCCCGACAATTTAGTGAAATGGTATCTAGTGACAGTGGTGGTTTCACCAATAGCACACTGATAGGATATTGTCACTAGAAAATATTGAACGAATTATGATATATTCTACTGTAATATTTATATACCAATATAAGACCAATTGTACCGGGTTGTACCAACGGATAGAAGCTTGTCATATATGTGTGTATTATACTTGTCTGATTGGCGCTAGGCAATTTTTATGGTCTAACCAACGACAAGGTAGATACCACAACAAATGGTTTTATATCGTGCGATGCATGTTAATTAGATATGCCAAGCGATAAGAGAATGAGACGCACTGCAAACAAGTGATACAGTTCGATCAGAGATATAAACCAACACCTCTACGTAGGACAACAACCAAGGATGAGAGAGTTTCAAGCTATAATTTTAAAACCAGACTGGAAACTCGAGAGAATATTGATATATAACCATTGATTAGCTGTTGATATAACCATTTATGCGCTGTAACATGTAAACATATATAAAATGTTCACTAATTTGGAGCTGAGTTTATCACTAACCATAAGCAATTTCAAATTCATATCACAAAAAGAAATCATATTTTCTTATTAAATTTAAGTTAGTAATTAGAATGACAATCAATAGTGAACAACATAAAATCTCCAAAGAGGGTGGGAAACAAAGAAGAGGAAGTATAAATTTTGATAAGATGTCTTAGTTTACGTTAGAGTTTTTTATTGTGTGATTAAAATAGTGAAAAAAGGGACTAGTCAAACCATAATGATTTATCTATTTTTATGTCCAACCATTAAAAATTGTCTGGCGACCTATATCTAGCTATCGAAGAAAATAGACTAAACAACTATTTTAATTAATTTGACGATTCTACTAATCCAACCGCTCATTTGATTCTGTCCTTATAAAAAGGGTTTTAAGATGTGTAACTTTCTTATTGTTGTAACTTTAAAAATAAACAAAAAGGAAATTATGAAAAAAAATTCCATTAAAATGGCAACTTATTTTCAGAGCTAGATTGCCAAGTCGGTAAAGTTGACAGACAAAAAATACACTAAACCGAAAAAGGTCGAGGTGAGGCTACGAGAAGAGTAGGGGCATGAAAGACTTAAAGCGACAAAGTCACAGAACTATACTAGGGATGACAAAAATATCCGTAACCGTGGATATCCGCCCGAATTCGGTCTAATCGGGTAGGGTAAAACCCAAACCTGAATACATTTAGATTTTAGTGGGTACGGGTAAAGCCTGAACCCGAATATTGCGGGTAATGGCTGGGCATGGGTTTGTCACTATCCAACCCGAACCCGCCCGATTATACACATGCATATATATTTGTCTAGAAATAATCATTATTTGTCTCTAACATATTTTATATTTAGCATATAAATATAATATTTTCATGAAATTGTATTATTTTAATTAACTTTTATCATTCTAGTGAATTATTTTCGTATTTTTCCTCTTACATAATATGAGAATACGTGTGAATGTTAACATATTGGTTGGAGTTATGAAGAGAAATTATTAACCACGGATAACCGTGGATACCCGAAATCCGAACGGGTACGGGTATGGTTTTGATTTTCTACCCATTTCACATGTGGGTATGGATATGGGTAAAACCCGAACTACTTTGGGTAGAGTAACGGATAAGCACTATCCGCACCCGACCCGACCCATTGTCATCTCTAACTATAACGTTGGCTTATAGTAATTACTTGAGTTAATGATATATATTTTTTTAGAGAAGTTAATGATATACTGGGCATATGAACTATGAAGGTGTTCTTATCATGACTCTTGTATTTTTTTTTTTCCAACACAGCCATTCAAACATAAACATTTTTTAGTAGTGGCTATCACTATTAAAAGATTGTTTATCTTCTATTAAACAGGGACCCAATTGCTTACTAGACACGTTATCTAGGCGTTGACTTGGTAACAAAACTCATGTAATTATAAAGTTATCCTTGTTATTTTAATCATTTTTCATTTTTTGACAAAAAATAGACCGATTATGTTGATTTTGATTGAAAATTATATGGTAAAACTCATGGAAGGGATTAGTTGGGGAGGGGTTAAGAAAATGGAGGATTTCTTTTTTGGTAATTATGAAGACACTTTATCGGCATGAGTCTTATGCCCGTGCTTAGATAGGTTCCAAACAATGGAGACTAACAAACTTTGAACGGTAAGATCAGATTCAGGAAAAAAATCTTTACTTTAGGGACCATAATCGAAAAATAAATAGTCATGCGGTCATGATAAAATAATATATTAAAATTCAGAGAAAAAATGCTATTAACTCTAATTAATTTGCCTATTTATACCTTCGCCTTCAAGAACTCCTTCCAAGTAAATGAAGTTTACGCTAAATTCTTGGCCACTTTGCAAAATAACTTGCTTCACGAGGATCGATATGTTTTGACAATAACGTAATATAATCATTCATTTGGATGAATGTGTAATTCAATCTTGGTATGGCGCCATTGACTGGTTACACTGATCTAAATCAATCTAATTCTAGTCATCTCATTGCTAAATGAAGAAAAACTAGCTCGCACGAAGCAAGAGATGCAAATAAAATTTTCCAACTAGTCTAAACTAAACTTCCCCGATCTGGAGGTGGAATGCTCTAATAAAAATTTGTGTTATAGGTGTCACAATGAGACCATGTTTACGGTCTAAGATCCTTGCATGCAGCAGGACAGTCTCATTTGCAGGATTGGTGGAAAACCTGCCTTCTTTATTTTTTTTTTTCCTTAAGACAATACAGTAAAAGTACGTACCATGGAAATTAAACTTTATATATATATATATATATTGCTTGAATCGTTAATAAGACAAACCAGAATTTGTAAATTAATCTCGAAATACAGAATTGGATATGTATGATGAGAAAGAAGGCGATGGTGTTAGCTAAGAAGGAATTAAATAACTAAACTACATACGACCCAAAACTCGCAAACGTAGCCTAGGACCAGCGGACCAGCGGCGTGACAAAGCCGGAAGAAGTACCCCTCGCATTCACACACGTGACGGCGGCCTCCTTACCAAGGTAAGTAAGCGCCACGTCATGCATCGTAATCCCGGTGCAGGGGTTGGACTCACTGCAGTCGAACCTGACGGCGACCTGGGTGCTCGAGGTGCCACGTATGCTCTTGTACCTGATGCCACTGACCCTGACCCCGGATGCCTTGCTGGGGCAGTTCTGGCCGTGGCCGGGGCAGTAGTGCTGGTCGATGAGGATGGGGTTCTTGACGCCGTCCATGACGACGTGATGGAAGAGGACGTTGCTGACGAAACCCAAGCTGGGGCGGGCCCACGTCTTGATCCGGAGACCGTTAGTGGTGTCGCTGAGGTGGACTCTCTTGACGGTGATGTTCTCCACGCCGGGCTCCTGGAACTTCCAGCCCAGGCTCCCGATGCTGATGCCGTGGCCCGGCCCGCACGCCACTCGCTCGATCCAGACGTTGCGGGCCCCGGGGCCCATGGAGATGCAGTCGTCGCCCGTGGAGATGGTGGAGTTGAGGATCCACACCAAGCTGGATCTCTCCACGTGGATGCCGTCCGTGTTGGGGCTGCTTCCCGGGGCGGTGACCGTCACGCGCTGGAGCTTCACGTTCTGGCTGTCCGTGATGGCGATCTGGAACTTCTGGCTGTTCACGGAGCTTAGTCTGTCGATCACCACGTTCTTGGAGTTGGCGATGTGCAAATTCTGCATGCAAAACCACAGGCAGCAACACCATCCATAAGTAAGTCATCACGGAACAAAAGCGAGATTTTGTTATATTTAGCTAGGTTAGCAACGTACGTATAACGGGGAAGAAGAAAACTGGAACAAAAAAAAAAAAAAAAAAGTAATTGCATAATTTATATATATACATACAAGACTTAATTAATTAATTTCCGTGGTGCCGACGGGGCAGTCCTTCCCGGCAAGCTTGCAAGACCACAGCCTGGTGCCTTGTCCGTCAAGTATCCCGCCAGAGATCCGTACGCCGTCAACTTTGTGAAACCGAATCCAGTTCCCGGCATTCCCAATGACGGAGTAGTCGGACGGAGCCACCAGGGTTCCGTCGATACGCACCACGATAGCGTTGCTCTTGCACGGCCCTTCAAACGCTATGTCTCGGAGGTGAAACTTTCCATAGGGCACGTACACAACAGACGGGCGCGGGTCGCTGCACGCTCTTTTCCATGCTTCCGAAAAAGCTCTCGTCG